AGTGCTGGGACCATGTGTACCAGTCCACCTTTGCAGGTACTGTCAGCCCTTCCTGACCTTCTTCCTCCAGGTCTCTCCCTGCTGCGCCTGCACCCCGTACCACAGTGAATAAAATTGCCCTGGCCTTGGCCACTTGTCTTCTTGGGCCAGCTCAGGGGGAGTGGGAGGGTTAAAGAGCTCGTTTATTTTTCCCAGTGACTTGCCCTCCCCAGGTCCCCTGGGCAGCCCACGTGTCCTGGGGCTTGGCAGGGCCTGCGCCCCTCTCTGCCCCCAGCAGATGTCAGAGTGCTCTTGCTCAGCCGTCCCACTTTCCCTCTGCCTTTGCTTTCAGCTGATGAACTTGCCGTTTCCTTCTCTGGACCCATTGAGGCACCTGCTCAAGCCCTCTGCATGGACTTCAGCCATGCAGAAAAGCCAGAGAGTAATGTAATGAATCACTGTGAACTCAGAGCCTGGGACTAACATTTTATCCTGTTTGCCTCTGGGTTTTGTAAAGCACCAGAATGTTTCAGATCACATTGAATTCTTCTGAGTATCTCTTCTTGATCCCATTCCCTACCCTCCCTCCCTCTGCAACTGTTATCAAGAGATGATAGTGTGCTTTCTGTCCCTTAGAAAATACTAGAGTCATGTGTTACAAGTCAGTAATATACATATGGTGTTATGTTGTGTATTTAAGTTTTCACATAGTGGATGTCTAGTGGTGCACGTCATTCTGTAGGACATTTTTTTCACTCAAGATCATGTTTTTGAGATCTACACATACTGTTATGTCTACATGCAGTTCTCCATCTTAGCTGCTGTCTGGCTTTCTGGGATGTGAGTACACCACAGTATATTGAGTCCCACATTGTGCTGCCGGGTTCCTCAGTGTAACAGTTTGCCTTGAACAGGGTCTGTGGATAAGAATTTATGTCCAAGTAGAATTTACATTGTAGGCTCCATCAGTTATTCATGAGGTCATTTACTTAACCTCTCTGCCTCATTTTCACCTGCAAAATAGGACAGTAATTAGACCCTGTGAGTTGTAGAGACAAAATGAGCTACAGCTGCGGAGGGCTGAGAACAGTGCTTGAGAAACGCTCCGTGCGTGCTGGCTGTGTCTATATAGCAGTCATCAGTACCAGGGCACCTCTGAAGTTCACGTGAAAATGGGATTAAAAGATGTTTACTTTGGTGCACACAATTTGAAGTCTATGCATCGTGTTTTCATATTACCCATTTCCCATGAACTTCTGCAGGCTCCTTTTATGTGCATTTTAAACTTTACTCAGTATTGCCAAAGTGGTTATACCAGTTTATATTCCCACCAACAGGGTGTGAGAGTTCCTGTTTTGCCATTGTTATTAACCTTTGATCCTGTGCCTTTTAAACCTTTGCCAGTCAGATACGTGTGCGGTGGTTCCTCTTCCTGACCTGCATGGCCTTGTTTATTGGCCACTCGGGTTTCCCTTTCTGGAATTTTCTATTTCTGTTCATAGCCTCTGCCCATTTTCCTGTGGGGTGCTTTGTCTTTTCCTCACTGGTTTGTGTTACACGCATACACGTATACTTTTAAAATTTGTTTATTTTCACTTTACTTGAAAGGCAGAGAGACAAAGAGATCTTCCATCTGCTGGTTCATTCCCCAAATGCCAACAACAGCCAGCACTGGGCCAGGTGAAGCTAGGAGCCCAGAACTCAGTCTGGATCTCCCACATGCATGGCAGGTTCCCAAGTGCTGGGGCCATTGTCTGTTGCTTCCCAGGTTATATGTTAGCACGGAGCTGGAAGTGGAGAAGCCAGGACTTTAACCGGGCATTGTGGTAGGGGATGCACGCATCCCGTGCGGTGATTTAACCACTGCACCACCCACCTACCTCACACACAGAGGCTACCCTAATTTTTAAAAAATGTATTATTTTTTGAAAGAGTGACAGGGAGAGGGAGAGACAGAGGGAAAGAGAGAGATCTTTCAAGCACTGGTTCATACTCCAGGTGGTTACATTGGCCAGGGCTGGGCCAGGCAGAAGCCAGGAACCAGGAGCTTCATCTGGGTCTCCCACATGGGTGTCAGGGGTCCAAATACTTGGGCCATCATCTTCTGCTTTTCCCACGCCTTTAGTAGGGCACTGGATCAGAAGTGGAACAGCCGGGATACGAACTGACATCTATATGTGTGGGGAGCAACCCGGACTGGACTGAGTTACTGGAATTAAGACTTATTCTATGCATCTGCTCTCCCACAATATGGCGCTGGGAGAGGAGAAAACAGCTTCTACGCAGCTGCCTCTTGCCAACTTGAGTGATGACCTCCAGGAGCTGATCCTGCTCCTGATTGGAGGAGAGCAGCGTACTCGGCGTGTGGGCAGCCGAGTTAGGATTGGCGGAGGAGGACTATAAAGGAGGAGAGAGACGGCATGCACCAGGAACATCTAAGGGGAACATCTAAGAGGAACACCTGTGCAGCCCCCGAGAGAGCCGGCCGGCGGTGTGCCGCTCCCCCGCGGAAGTGGGGAATGTGGCAGGGGGAACCGCCCTTCCACGGAGGTGGAAGGGACGGTAGCCAACCCGGGAAGGACCAGCAGCAAACCCGGGGAGGGCCGAGCAGACGAAAGAACAACGCAGGGTCCTGTGTTGTTCCTCCACGAAGAGGGGGAGCGACAATATGGGATGCGGGCATCAGAGATAATGGCTTTACCTACTATTTCATAACATTGGCCCCTACATTTTTTTTTTTTTTTGCAGATTTATTTTTTTATTTGAAAGGCAGAGTAACACAGAAAGACGGAGAGACAGAGGCAGAGGGGGAACACAACAGATTATGACAGATGCAATATTGCAGTCTTCCATTGAGCTTGTATCCTGTGTGGGCCCAGCACGCCCATCTTGTTAAACTTTGACAAGACAGGCTCAGGGGACTAAAGTGGCTGTGATCCCAGGTTTGTCTGACCCAAAGCTGATACCATCCACGTCGGCGCCAAAGTATAGCGAAGACAGCGTGGGGTGTGGGGAGGAGTGTGGCTGGCGGAGGGTGGGCCAGCTGCCCGCCCACCCCAGGCGTCCTGGCCGCCCCAGACGACAGCCTCTCCCTTGCGGTGCGGCGGGCGTTCGCGAAGCAGGTCACCGGGTGTAGGGTGTAAGGTGTGTAGACAGAGGCACGGCAGACAGGAGGTGCTGTGTGAGTGTTCCGCAGGGGCCAAGCAGGCAGGTGTGGCCTCGGGAGCTGGCCTTGGCGCCCGCCAGCCTGGGCTCCCAGCGCTCGGCTCCGAGGTGCTCGGCGTGCACACCCGCGGTTCTCCTCGGGCGGCCTCCCGACCCCCTGCTCCCCCTCCGCCCCTGGCCCCCAGGCACCGGGCTTACAGAATCTCCCTCATTTCTGCCTGTGGGCCTCTCACCGCGTTTCCTATTCCTGTGGGAAGGTAACCTGTGACTGCTGCCTCCACGCCTCCGCCCCAGCCATCCTGAGCCTGTCCCGCTGGGCCGGAGGAGGGAGTGCGAGCCGTGCCCGGCATCTCCGTGCCTGCCACCCTCCCGCGCTCATTGGAGGCTTTGCCCTGCCTGTTCCCCGCCCTCCTCCAGCACCAGCTTCCTTCAGGCCTGGGCTGACCTCCAGCTCTGGCCCTGACCCAGCATGTGCTGGGTGCCAGACAGCTTCCAGGCCGCGGCCGTGTGCGTGATGGCAAGGCTGAAACGGCAGGGCCAGACCAGGACTGAGAGCAGCATTTAACAAATTCCAAAGTGCACCACATTTTAATTTTTTTTTTAATTAGGTAGATTTATAGACAGTGTGAGACAGAGAGAGAGGTCTTCCTTCCGTTGGTTCACTCCCCAAATGGCGGCTACGGCCAGTGCTGCACCAATCCGAAGCCAGGAGCCAGGTGCTTCCTCCTGGTCTCCCATGCGGGTGCAGGGCCCAAGCACTTGGGCCATCCTCCACTGCACTCCCGGGCCACAGCAGAGAGCTGGCCTGGAAGAGGAGCAACTGGGACTAGAACCCGGCACCCATATGGGATGCCGGTGCCGCAGGTGGAGGATTAGCCAAATGAGCCACAGCGCCAGCCCCAGAGTGCACCACATTTTAAAACCTCAGTGAAACTCCACATTTAAAGGACTATAGATACTCCTAGTAACAGATTATAGGATGTCACCAGACGACTGCGGCCCGGGCCTCAGTGCCACTGGGTCCTAGCGTCGTTCTGCTCCGCTGAGTTGGGCTCCTCTGGCCACTGCCTCTGGGCAGCTTCTGCACGCTGGCCAGGGAAAGCTCCTGTGCAGGGATTTGTTTCTTCCCTGCCAACCTGAGCTTCAGGGCCCCTCCCTGCGCTCCGCCCCGCTTTCTGCGGGAGGCCTTGGGGTAGACCCGTCAGTTTCAACGATGGCTGTGGATGGACCTGAAGGGGAAGGGAAGAGGAAGGAGACAGGAGAGCAAGTTCATGTGAACACAGATGCCTTCCCTGGTCTGTTCTAGTGAGAGCTGTGACAGCCACGGGGCTGCTCTTTGTTCTTCCAAACAGCATCACGTCCCAGGGTTCTGAAATCTGGTGTCCCCACTTGGCACTGCGTGAGCAGCTCTGAGCAGCTCGGCCTCCATCGCAGCCTGAGCATGGCAAGATGGCTGGAGGGACAGTGACCGGATGGAGGGGCAGAGGCAGGGGGGGGGGGTAGCTGAGTGCTGCAGGATGAGTAGGGAGCAAAGCAGAGGGAGGGAGGCGGGCTTGTGGGAGGGCGCAGGAGGTGCACGGTGGTGGGAGAAGCCTCCATGACGGTGGGAGAAGGCTCCATGCCTCAGGGAACCAAATACTGAGCAGGCTTTTCCTAACTCTCTTGGACTTTCTGCGCCATGCTGATCAGCTGGTCCAAGTCTTCACAAGATACTGTGCTGGTGAGCTACTCCACAGGTGCAAGTCTCTTCTTCCCTAGGAGAGAGCAAAGCCTCTTGGGAGGTGGCCTGCTCGCTGGGGCATGCCCTGGGCCTGCTGACACACAGCCTGGTCACCTTTCTCTCTCTCTCTCTGCAGCCTGGTGCAAGCAGAATATTGGCATGACCCCATCAAGGAGGACATGTACCGCAACCACAGCATCTTCTTGGCGGATATCAATCAGGAGCGGGTGAGCACCCGCGCCCGCACAGCAGCAGAAACGAGTTGGCAGTGGGACCCGCGCTGCGGGGCGGCGCCGGGAAATGGAACATCTGTGGCTGGGAGGTGGTGCTTCTGAGATCAGGTCCCTTATAGGGAGGCTGGAAGTCCTCTGGCCTTCTTCCCTGAAGTCCGCTCCCTTTGCTGGTGGTGCAGCAGCGGCCCGGGTCAGCAGGTGTGGGTGGGCCAAGGAACTCACAGCTGCTGTCCTGCGTGAGGGAAGCCTTCCCAGGGATCCCTTTCTGGAGCCGATTTTCTCAGAGGAGAGATGGAGAAGAGAGACTGTGGAGGGAGGGAGTGTGACCCAGCCATGAGCATGGGGGGTGGGTGGGCGAGGGGAGGCCATGGCTTCACTTTAGCCTCATCTGGAAGCTTTTGTGGTTTCTTCAGACAAAAATGTGAAGGGGAAGGCAGGAAACAGCAGACGCAGACTAGGAGAGCAGAACCGCCCAGGGTGTGTAGCTGCTTGCTTTGCGTGCCTTCCTCTGGCTGTGTGCTGGTGCCTGTGGACTGTGGGACAGCGTCAGCCAGTGAGGACGGCAGGGGGAGGCTGCAGCGGAAAGCGGGAAAAGCCGCCCATTGCCAGGGCAAGAAACACGGTGGGCCAGGGTCGGGACCACCAGAGCACCCGAGGGCGCTCACCCCTGCTGGGAGCTGGCGGCGGCCGTGACCGCTGCGGCCTTTCTTCCAGGGCGTCAACGAGTCCTACAAGAAAAACCTGATGGCCCTGAAGAAGTTTGTGATGGTGAAGTTCCTCAACGACTCCGTCGTGGACCCCGTGGATTCTGAGGTGAGACACGGGCCCGGGGGCTGTGAGACCGCGGTGGAAAGGAACTAAAATAACAGCTGCCTGCCAGCACAAGTCTCTTGAGTCCCTCTGCAGACAGCAGGGGCTGTCATCCCAGAGCTGTCTGCTCCCTAAAGGTGCATGTATAATTAGGTAATTGCATTCTCTGGGCGAGGGTCTATAATATATATATATATATATATTTTTTTTTTTTTTTTTGACAGGCAGAGTTAGAGAGAGAGACCTAGAGAAAGGTCTTCCTTTTCTGTTGGTTCACCCTCCAAATGGCCGCTATGGCCAGTGCGCTGCGGCCGGCGCACTGCACTGATCCGAAGCCAGGAGCCAGGTGCTTCCTCCTGGTCTCCCATGGGGTGCAGGGCCCAAGCACCTGGGCCATCCTTCACTGCCTTCCCGGGCCACAGCAGAGAGCTGGACTGGAAGAGGAGCAACCGGGACAGAATCCGGCGCCCCAACTGGGACCAGAACCCGGGGTGCCAGTGCTGCAGGTGGAGGATTAGCCAAGTGAGCTGCGGAGCTGGCTGAGGGTCTATAATTTTAATCAGATTCTTTTCTTTCTTTTTTTTTTTAAGATTTATTTTTTAGTTATTTGAAAGGCAGTTACAGAGAGAAACAGAAATCTTCCATCCGCTGGTTCACTCCCCAAATAGCTGGGGCTGTGCTGGGCCAGGCTGAAGCCAGGAGCCAGGAGCTTTTCCAGGTCTCCCATGTGGGTGCATGGGCCCAAGCACTTGGGCCATCCTCTGCTACTTTCCCAGGTGCATCAGCAGGGAGCTGGATCAGAAGTGGAGTAGTTAAAACTGGAACCTGTGCTTAGATGGGATGCCGGCCTCTCAGGCAGCAGCTTAACCTGCTACGCCACAACTCCCGCTCCCTTTAATCGGATTTTTAGAGATCCCTGGCCCCAAAAGATCCAGAATCGCTAGCCAAAGTCGGAAAATTCCAAGGTGCGGCAGGCCAAGACTGCCTCAGCCCCCCTCTCCAGCCTCCTCTCCCTTCCCTCCCCACCTTGCACACCCTTCCGTCAAGCCGCACTGCAGTATGGCCACGCCGACTTGGCAGGAGCTTTTGTCCTGTGTGCCTTTGCTCATGTTTTCTCGCCTCTAGAACGTCCCTCCCTGGCTTCTCCACCTGATAAGCTCCTGCTTGTCAAGGCCAAACTCAAATGTCACTTCCTCCAGGGTGCCACCCCTCTTGCTCCCGCGTGTGGACTCAGCAGCCACCATCACAGTACTCACATCGTGCCAGCCCACCTGGGCCACATCCGGCCTGCGGCATTTACAGTTGTTTGTAATTTCTTTGCCTTCATTTTATCTTCATTGAAAGGCTGCGGTAGGGGCCGCGCGGTGGCGCAGCAGGTTAATACTCTGCCTGTGGCACCGTCATCCCTGTGGGCGCCAGTAATAATCCCGGCTGCTCCACTTCTAATCCAGCTCTCTGCTATGGCCTGGGAAAGCAGTGAAGATGGCCCAAGTCCTGGGGCCCCTGCACCCTCTTGGGAGACCCTGAAGAAGCACCTGGATCCTGGCTTCAGATCAGCCCAGCTCTGCCGTTGTGGCCATTTGGGGAGTGAATCAGTGGATAGAAGACTTCTCCTGTCTTAAAAAAAAAAAAAAAAAAAAAAAGTTGTGATAGAGATCTTCCATCTGCTAGTTCACTCCCCAAAAGCCTGTAACAGCCAGGGCTAGGTTAGGTTGAAGCCAGGAACCAAGAACTCCACTCGTTTTTCCCACATGGGTGGCAGTTGGGCCATCATCTGCTGCCTTTCAGGTGTATTAGCAGGAAGCTGGGTCAGAAATGCAGAGGAGCCAGGACTTGAACCAGGCACTCGATACAGGATGGGATGCAGGCGTCCCAAGTGGCAGCTTAACCTGCTGCACCACAGTGCCTGTCCTCACCCCCAGGATTCCTTTTTTTTTTTAAGATTTATTTTATTTATTTGAAAGACAAAGTTACAGAGAGAGGTAGAGCCAGAGAGAGAAAGGTCTTCCATCTGCTAGTTCACTCCCCAAATGACTGCAATGGCCAGAGCTGTGCTGATCCAAAGCCAGGAGCCAGGAGCCTCTTCCTTGTCTCCCATGTGGGTGCAGGGGCCCAAGCACCTGGGCCATCTTCTACTGCTTTCCCAGGCCACAGCAGGGAGCTGGATGGGAAGTGGGGCAGCTGGGACTTGAGCTGGCGCCCATATGGGATGCTGGCGCTGCAGGCAGCGGCTTTACCTGCTATGCCACTGCTGACCCCAAGCTAAGAGTTTTTTCATTTCTAAATGGTTGGGGGTGAAGCTCAACCAATTTTAAATGGTTGGAAAAAGTCAAAAAGATTTTTTCACATGTGAAAATGATTTGAAATTCAAATTTCAGTGTCCATAGACAAACTTGCCCTGGAAACAGGCCTGTTTTTTATATATTGTCTGGCTGCTTTTGCTACAAGGACAGCAGTAAGTAGCTGCAATCATCTGGCCGTCAAAGCCTAAAATAATATTTCCTATCTGATGTTTGCAGAAAGTGTTCCGAGCCCCACACTACACCCTGAGTTGTTTCTCTGCCTCACTGGACTGGGAGCTCCTGGGAAAAAAAGGGTCCTATATTCATCCTTGAATGTTTAGATTTTAGCGCAGGAATCTTCCCAGGGTAGGTACTTAGTACATGTAGGCAGCACAAATCCTGGGGAGGGGGTAGAGCTGTTTGCAAAGATTAGGTCAGCCCTCAGGACTAACCTTTAAAAAGGAGTGACTCGAGGCCTCCCCGCTTCCATTTGTTCCTTCCTGCTGTGGCTTTACGATACAGTTTGTTGGTAGTCTCAGCTACCCGCCATTAGCAGGTTAGCTTGGCAGTGTGTGCCACGTGTCTGATGTGTCCTTCCTCTCCTGCAGTGGTTTGGCTTTTACAGAAGCGGGCAAGCCAAGGAAACCGTTCCCTTGCAGGAAACCGCCCTGTACACACAGGTAACCGCGGGGCTCGGTGCTGGGAGGCTGGCGCTTTTTCAGCCCCCACTTCCCGAAGCTGCACGCGGGCGCTCAGGTGCTGGAGCCCTGCCCTGCAGGCCCTGGAGCGCCAGGTGCTCTGGAAGCAGCTGATGGTGTCTGAGGTGGGTGAGGCTTGTCAGGGCCCTGCGACAGCCAGGAGGACCCGTACCTCGGGGTTTTCGAGCAGAAACAAGAGACGCGTCATCTCTAGGTCCTCCCCTCTGACGAAAAGGTCTGGAACAGCTTCCTTCTCGGAACAGTCTGCTGCACATCCAAGAGGCCCCGGTGCCTAAGGAAAACCTACAAAGCGGGGCCTCACTGTGAAACCTTCAGAGCCTGTTAGCCCCGAGTTTAAATTAGGTGTGGAAAGCGGAGCTCCTGCAGGAGGCTGGGTGGGACTGGAGCTGTCAGTTTCCTTTAGCCCAAGTCCTGTTGCTGAGCGGAAGTTGCCTGTCCCGCCACCTCCAGCTCTGGGGCCTTCTACACGCAAGGAACTTAGACAGGAGATGGACTCTCCCGGAAGTGCACAAGGTCACAACTGAGCCAGTGAGCTTCCACGAGCTGACCTTTCATAGTATGAAATCCAAATTGCTCCAAAATCCCACACTCTTTGGTGCCAAGATGATGTTCCCAGTGGAGTATTCCACTGCTGTTCCACTCCTGACTTTGTGTGGTGAGCTGTAGGCAAAACACAGGCACAATAAAAAGCATGTGTGTACAATTTCTGTTGCTTCTTGGCTTTTGGCTGCAGTCAAGTGTAAATTACCTTTAGGCCATGTGTCGGAATTCTGTGTTTAGGCTTGGTTCCATTCCTGAGGTAGCAAGTGCTACATCTGAAACCCAGAACGCCCCTGGTCCCAGACATTTGGATAAGGGATACCCAACCTGTACTAGAATTTGTCCAAGTACTTTCAGAGACCATTTGTCTCTTCATTTTTCTCTTAGATTCGCTGTCTCAGGTTGGGTGAGACAAAAGAAAGGGAAGTCAGGGTCTGATAAGAGTGAGGAAACCACCACCAGGAACTTCCTGATGGTGAACCCCCAGCCCCTGGCAGCAACAGCAGACGCCACTCTAGCTTTGTTGCAACTGCTCGTCTCCCGCCACAGGTTGCTCTGGGACAGGCGAACATTGTTTCTTTACTGTTGGACTTCAGAGTTTTCATTAAACCTGACTGTTCTCTCCCGGCAGGACCGCCTGGGGCTGAAGGAAATGGACAAAGCAGGAAAGCTGGTGTTTCTGGCCACAGAAGGGGACCATCTTCAACTGTCTCAAGAATGGTTTTACGCCCACATCTTACCCTTCCTTGAGTGAAACCCGTGCAGTTTGCAGCAGCGCTCGGGAGCCCCCAGCTCTTGCCGGCCGCCTGGGGGAGGTCCCTCCCTGCCCAAGCCTGCGCTCAGAGCCAGCTTGCAACTAGCCCTCTCTCCTGTCATCTAGCATGCCCTGCTGAGATGCCAATCTTCTCCTTTGCCGCCTCCTATCGCCGCACGTGTTGAATGCAAGCTGAATTAGTAAGCCCGAGGCCTGTTTTGCAGCCTGCTTGGTGTGCTCGGGCGCAGCCTTAGAAAGGCAGTGTGCTGCAGATCAGCGCCAGGCCGGTGCAGGGGATAGGTGCGAGGGCAGACACCTTCATCAGGAACGTCCAGGCACGTTCGCCCCGCCCGAGCACTCAGGCACCGCGCATGCGTTCTGTTTCGCTGGTAGACTAGACTCGTGCTTGGCTCACGCTGCTGCACCACTCTGCGGTGCCTCACAGGGACCTGACGGACGCCCCGCCCACCTCTCGCCCCTGCAGCACTCACTGTCTCCCCAGGCTGTGTCACAAAAGCAAGGAAGCAACACCCATTTGTGGCTTGAGAGAGGAAATGTAGTCTTGCATCACTTTAGGTGGGAGGGGGTTGGGGACAAAGAAAAGGACGGGAAAAGCGAGGCAGCTAGTTCTGGCGTCCGTGCGGACTAGTGGTCCGCGTGCCCGGAGGTCCGCTGAGACTGGGCCGAGCGACAGGGAGCTCAGACGCCTCCCCCCCCCCCCCCCAAGTCATGCTGCCCAGCGTACCGGGCCGTTTCTGATGGCTTCTGTGAGAAAGGGCTCTGTGCTCAGAAGGCTTGCGGAACGCTGCAGTCCCGTCCTCCACCTCCGAGAAGGCCTGTTGGACAGCACCACCCCCACGCGTCCCCTCTCACTCCCCGCGAGCCGCTGCGGTGCGCAGACCTGACTATTAACTTTATTCTATTTTCTGTATAACTTTAAGTACATAAAGGTTTATTTCCACAGGCCTCAGGAAATGGGTAGAAGTCACAGGACAATCTCTCTTCCCACCAAAAAAAGTTGCATATTTTGGTAAGTGTTTGTTCTAGAGGGAAAAACTGAAATTTACATTAGCAATGCTGTGCGAGATCCTTCCATCCATCCAGACCCAAAACCAGCCTGCAGGGGAGGTTTTAGTCCTCTGCAGTGCCTGGACGGGAGCCAAGTGCCACTGATGGTGGGCAAAGGAGGCAATGAAGACGACAGGCACCTAGCAGGGAGGAAGAATGCCAGATTCCTTGGGATGGTGTGAGGGTATTTTTTAAAAAAGTCATGTCTGTAGGAAGGTGCTGGGCAGGGATCCCTAAGAAAGGGCCCACTGCCCTCAGTGATGGGCACTGCTGCAGCAGCTGATCCCAGAGAACCTGCTGTCCCATGGCTGAGGCAGACTTACGATGGAATGCAGAAGGAAAGGAATGCTTATGGGGAAACTGTTTTGCTTGGAATGCTAGATGGCTAAGTCTCAGCCTTTGATCCAGTGCAACCCTTGCCTCACTTGTCAACAGTGAAAGATCGTTTGGTTAGAACAACCACCTGGAATCACACAGCTTCTGCTACCTATCTGCTCACTGTTAGGAAAAGATCGCCTAGTGTGAACGTTCTGATCCGTTCATCCTGGGACTGTTTTATTCTTCTCAAAGGACTGTAATTGGTCAAGTAACCCCAAAGCTGAGAGCTAAAATGCACCAGTCCTGGCCTGCCGTTCCTGAAGAATGCATTGGCGGTGTGGCTGCACTGATATAAGGAAGCTGCACCTTCCTGCAGAAGATCAACTGCCCTGCTACCCCGCCCCAAATCTCAGCCTGAGGTATATTTCAGTGAAGGCAGGTAGCTGTGCCTCTCAGAGCAGAGAAGCCGTTAAGAGCAGAAAGGTAGAGGAAACCTAGAAAAGAACCGTCTCGATAACAGAGTCATCCCGTGTGTGGAGGGAGAGGGCGCAGAACCCAGTGGCACTTCACTTAACCGGCGATCTCTGTCACTGTGGTGACCAACTTATGCCCGTTCCATACAGTCTTGAACTGTTCCGGGACTGGGAACTCGTTCTGCAAATAAAGAAGAGACGTTGGAGTTAAGGCAGGGCTAGAGAATGAGCTGGGGCTAATCTCACACTTTTCCTCCAATGCTTGCCTCCACTTAAACCTGAGCCAGGTGGGAGGTAGTGAGAGAGAGAGGAGCCAGGGTGTGTTCCACTGGTCACCGCTCTGTGATCAGTGATCTTGTACAGACTGTAAATGAAAATACGCAGGTTTTACAGCCCCAACTCAACAGGGCACCGTGACTCAGTCCCACTCTTCATAGCTACCCTGAGCACAAATTAAGAAGGCAAAACCCACCCGCTCTGGGGCTCCACTACAGGACATGACTTTGTTTCTGGGTGCTTCTGTTGGGCATTGTTGGACTCTTCCTACTCCGTGCAGCCTTCGATCCCTTCTGTTTTTAATACCATACTACTCTAAAGACCAAGACACTTACGAAGTCCCCGCCTTCTGTGGGAATGAGGATGTTCATCTCAGACGACTTGGCACTGACTATCTCACAGTCCAGGGAATTCTTGCTCAGGTAAGTGTGGCAGCCATCTGTTTTGTTAATGGAAATGGTTGGCACTTTACCCATTACCTGCAGAGAAAACCAAGAGATCTGAGGCCCGGCAGCTGGGGAGGACAGCGGGAAGTTGCAGGGAACGCACTCACTGCTTCCCACGACTCAACGACTACATGAAAAGCGTCAGGTGCACGACAGATACTGGATCCTAGGATTGGGCCGGGATGGGCGCTACAGAGAGCTCACTTGAACAGCCAGCTCTCCTTTGCCACATCCAAAGCCGCTCAGCTTACACACACTTGTAGAATCAGATTCCCACCAAAGCAACATCTGTGGGTCTGCGGTGTCACTCAGTTAATTCCCCAGGGACTGAAAGAGCGAGCCAAGATATCAAGTTACCTGAACTTTGACATCCCTACTATTGATTATCTCCACAATGCCCACCACGTCATCGAATACCAGCCCGAGTTTCTTACAGTTATCTAGGAGAAAGAGCAGGTCAACAGTATAAAGGAAATATGTTTCAGAATCTTTAGGAAGAGGGGTGGTTAATGCTTTTAGCCCTCTCCGGCTCCGGGACAGTCTGCCCAAAGCAGCAGCGAAGACTCACCTACTGTGATGGAGTTAATCTTGCCCTTGATTTGCAATGTTGTGTTGACACACTTGTATATGTAAGCCACCTGCTTCAGCTCTGTGTCCTCAATTACCAGGTTGGAAACATTCTCTTGATTTTCCTGTTTAAACACATACCCCAGGATTCTCATCACCAAACACACCCCAGATAAAGTTAACAGGCTATCCCAAACTCTGCACTCCTTTGAGCTGCATTTAAACCCCTCGTCTCTACGCTTATTTCCCCAACCTGGGTATTTTTAACTCACCACTCTCCATTTCTTGCCCTCCAGTTCAAGTACAGCTGGCTCCTTCTTTGTGGCTGGTTTGGGGGATGGGCTGGTTTGGGGTTTAGGAGCAGAGAATGGTTTGGGGCCACTGCGTACTGGACCACTCTGAGCCTTCAGGGCAGGGTTCTTGTGAGTCTTCATATCATCAGACACGTGTTTCAGGGCTGGAAGAACAACAGCTACCTTGTTTCTGTTCTTCACACCCAGGCTGGGCTGAGGCAATAGCTAACTTGCTGACGTGTAAGTTAAATCAACCCGTAACAGCAAATATTAAGTCACTTTCTCATGTAAAACAGATTCCCAACTGTACTCCAAACCAGTGCTTTTGAGATGTTCTATCAGAACCAGTTCTTTAATAATTTCCTCCCGCAAGGTTAAATTATATGGTTCCATTTGAAAAACAAAACATGGAATATGTATTAGGAGCAGGGGTAGGATGGGTATTTAAATGCACAAAAAAAGATCTGGAAAGTCGCCCACCAGATATATACTCAACAAAATATATAAAGTTTTTAAAGCAACGGAGGAAAAGATGTGATAGGAAAGAAAATAATGAAAGAAAAATAACAGAAAACCTCATGCACAGCTAACCTCGTCCCAGTCAGTGTTGGCACTTGAAAATCTCCAATTTTTTTTTATTCAGTTCTAGCCATATACAATGTTAAGAAATTTGATTCAACCAATTTACACTTGATAAAAAACTTTCTCATGTTAACCTGTAGCTTCTAAAAACATCTTTCTTGTATTCAAGGGAAAAGATCCCATCATCTCCTTCAGCAGCCTCACACACACCCTGCTTTCGAACGTGGCCAGATCCACGTTGATGACATAACCACATATGGCCTCTTTAGCGGTACCGCTCCATGGGCCTGTAGCTGAAACACTGGATTTTTTTTTTTATCTTAAAAGTTCCATGGGTCGTTGTAGAAAAAAGTAAAGACAGCTGCCATTAAGAGGACATACCATGGCAAACTACCAGTCTCCCTCACTGTTGGGTATTTAGTTTGTCACACCGTGTGTAGCTACCATAAACAACAATGTCTAAAACTCCTTTCGCTATGTTTATGGGCAGAACCCCAGCACGGGGCTGTGCATGTGGTGTTTAGTTTCTCTGTAACAACTTTAGGTCATTCCTAGGCAAATTTTCCACATGACTGTCAGTGAACCCCTGACACAATGACTTGCCAGAGACCATCAGGACAGCTGTCAGCTCTGTGCTTGGTACTCTGAATATGCCACGTAATAGTAAGTCACTTTCTCATGGGACAGACGGATTCCCCCAACTGTACTCACCCATTTTCAATTTCCACTTAAGCCAACTTTGCTGTCTCTCTGGGCAACTGGAAAGAACCCGACACCCAGATGAATTCTGTCCGAGACAAGCCAGGGTTCTGGTTTACACTAGCTGTTCTGTCTGGTCGGTGGTGAAGTCTGTCCCAAACAGCGGTCCCAACTGTTCGTGCCAAAGTACTCACTTACCATGTGTGATGCTCTCTCCCTGATTAATCTGCGCAAACAGTGCTGAGCGGGAGGCAGAGTCATCGGAGACTGAACTGGTAGGGACTGGCGGGGGAGGAGGGCCAGGCGGCGGGGGAGGAGGACCTGATCCAGCCGAGGGTCCAGACGGCAATCCACTCAGTTCTTTTGCCACAGGCCCCTGGAACAGTAAGCACAGGCAGCATAGCCATCCTTTCTCTCCCACTCTGTACCATCTGCAGTAGGGCTCGACCTGTGTCCAGCGGACCTGGGGTTCCCCTCCACAGCCCTTAAGACAGTGCTTAATGTTTCCTACTCACCCTCAACCTGCCTTTACTCCTTCTCATCCCTTCCCAGGGATCCAATTCTCCACTCCATTTCTCAACCTCCATTATTTCCCCTTTGGCCTCACCTGATTGCAGCTGTAAACCC